GCAAGGATGCATTGTAAGAGAAATGAGGATTGTTTAGCTAATACTACATTCCCCAAGGCAGTTACTGTACCAGCACTTAGACCCATCATCAGTCAAAACCTTCACAACAAAACAGTTCCTTAAATTCTCACACAAGACGCAAAGAAACTGAGGATCTGAGAGGTCTAGCAATTTACTGCAGAACTTCTGAGTGAGAGACACAGCATTCAAAGCATGACTGAGTGCACGCCCATCGACACTTCTCTGCCTCTGCAGCTCCTTACTGTCAGGCAGAACCCAGGGCTCAGCAGGACTGAATGCAGCTGAACCCGAGCATGGCCAGCTCAGACAGAAGCAGCGCAGTCAGAGATGGAAACCTGGTTCTCATTTGTCTGTTCATCTTCTTAGCCCTTTCCAGAAAAGTAGAGAAAATGCCAGCCACCTGCCTCCGATGATATTATCAGGATGAAACAAATAACCAGGTGGGTGTGACTACCACGTGTTAAATACCCGCTTTGAGTGTAGATCATAATAAGCAATTGATACGCAAGTTAAAGCCCCCGTGTTGTACCTGGGACTTCACCACATGTACCTGTGCTCCATTTTAACCTTAAAGCATCTTCAAGCCTCGGTGGATGGGAATAACGAGGATGAAAAGGCAGAGAACCCCTGGATCTAAACCCTTTGATCCTAAAACTGACAAGGCAATGTCAGAGCTATCAAGTTGTCTGGGCTGTAATTCTCTTTAAAGCTGAGCCTCTCTGGTTTTCAGATTGAGGGACAAAGGAATAAGACTTCCAGCAAATAGGAAGTTGAAGAAATCTAGGGAGCACCGAGTGGGCCCCAGCATATGCTGCACTCCCAGCAGTGAGACTGACCTGAACTCCTAAAGACGCAAGAGGCTGGCCTCCTAGCCCTCGGCATGTGGGTCCCAGCTGTACGCGTGTGGGGTTGGGGCAGAACTTTCTGTTCTGGCTCTCCCCCTTTCTGTAGCTACAAAAGCACGCTAGGAGGGAAGTGTGTGTGTTTCCTTGTAAGGGCTGCCTGTGCCAGGCAGGGACCTTCAGCTACTCCTCACCTGTTCAGCAGGAGCTAACCATGCCAGCGGTGCCTTACAAAGAGAAGTGCCCTTCATTTCATGGCTTTCTTGCTAACAGATGACATTCACAAGCCAGAATTTGAAGGAACAAAGAAATTACCACCTTCGTCTGATGGAACAATAGTGAGTGCCTTTCTCCCTGATGATTCAATGTACTTGGTAATTACTCCCTCATAATTTTTTACAGAATCAGAAATATTGTTATGGGGTCTAGTGGGGAAGGATTCTCAAGAAAGCTGGGAGGGCCAGTTGACTGAGCTGGGAGGCCAGGCACTGGGACACGTGGTCATGGCATCTCATTGCAATCATTGCAGAGGCCAGGTCCTCCTGCTCTGCTTGTTGGCAGAGGACAAGGAGGAAACTGCCACCCACAAATGTGCCTATGTATTCATTCAAGAATCCTTCACCTTTCTGTAAAGATTTATATATTTAGTGGGAAAGGCGGATCAGACTTACAGAGAGGTGAGACAGAGAACTTTTTAAGTAACAGGCATCACACCTAAGCACTTGAAAGAAATTTTTAAAGATTTTTTAAAGGTTTTTTAAGATTTTCTCTTGTTTGTATGTGAAAGGTAGAGCTGCAGAAGGAGAGGAGAGACAGAGATCTTCCACCCACTGGTTCACTCCCCAGAAAACCGCAATGGCCAGAGCAAGGCCACTCCAAAGCCAGAAGCCAGGAGCACCCTGAAAGTCTCCCCCATGAGCACAGGAATCCAAGCAGCCATCCTCCACTGCCTTCCCAGGCACACCAGCAGGAAGCTGAACGGGAAATGGAGCAGCCAGGACTCAAACCAGTGCCCATGTAGGAGACTGGCACTGCAGGCAGAAGCTTAAGCTACATGCTGCAGCGCTGGCTCCAGCTTCCTTTAATGCAAGCCCTTGCAGGCAGCACAATAGCTCAAGTATTGGGTTTTCATCATTCATGTAATAAAACTGGATTGAGTTCCCAGATCCCATTGTGAGCCTTGGCTCAGTCTGGGTGTCAGGGGCAATCTGAGGAGTAAATAAGTGACTGGATATTCTCTCTTTGATTCTCAAATTAATAAACAAAAAAAGCTATATATGCTAGCCAAAAACAAAGAAAAATTGAAATTTTAAAATACTACTAACGAGGTAAGTCTGAGCAGCGGAGCAAATGACTGGATCCCCCAGCCATGTGGCTGTGGCTGGAGGTGCCCACAATGGCTCAGGCTTCCTGCTGGGGATCCTAGTTCCCCAGCCACTGCTGCAAGGGAGTTAGGGTCCTGGGGATGTACAAATCCGAGGCCTGAGAATTTCCTCCGTCCACAGCAACCATGATGGGGACGAATCCTCGGACGGCTCTGAGAACACTCAGGATCATGGCTATACCCACCACCGCCATCTTGGTGGGTGGAGTCCAGGTAAGTCTGGATCCATCAGCCATGTGACTGTGACTGGGGATACATGTCCCAGGCCAGGGGATCCTGCTGGGTGGCGTGAGGATCCTGGGCTTAAGGACAGAGGGTTAACCAGCGCCAGGCTTCACTTACTGCCACCCAGCGGTGAGTTCTGGAGTCTTGGGGGTATGGAATTACTGCCTAGGGACATCCATGGATAAGGTCACTATACAGGTAGTTGAGGAATGGATCCTGAGGGACTCCAACTACAGGGCCACTGTACTTGCAGGTAAGCAATGGAACTGAGGCCTGGTGGTTTGGAGGGGAGAGACCTGAAGATATTTTTGGGTTAGACTGATGAACCAGCCCACGTGGGAGTCCTGGGTTGGGCTGAGCTGATAGAAAACTGGAGACACACTCTGAAACCCATGCTGACAGATGAGGGGCAAGGAGGCAGAGGTCAGCGATAGCCCTATCACACTTACACTGCAACAGGACAAGCTGTCTCCTGACTTTTCACTCAGTTCTGACAGTCCTGGAAAGTTACACTGTACCCTCTCCCAAGAACGCTGTGACCGCTCCCACTCAGCTGCAGCCATCAGAGAACTCGTCTTCGCACAAGCACACCTTTCTAGGCTTCTGTAGTTGATCTCAGCCTGCCTCATGCTCATTCAAAGACTGGTGCGGACCTCACCCCCAGGTTTCCACACTTCTGCAGCTCATTCTGGCCACAGGTTGAATATGGTTTGAAGACATACTCAAGCTTTCTTTTATTTACTTATTTATTTGGAAGAGAGATTTTACATCCACTGGTTCACTTTCCAAATGCCTGAAATAGTTATGGCCTAGCCCCAAAGGAACCAGGAACTCAACCTGGAATCCTAGACCATAAGCCATCATCTGCTGCCAAGCAGGATGGGACAGAGGTGAGGCGCAGTCCCAAGCACGGATCCCATCAATGGCTCAGCCCGCCTTGGCTGACATTCTAACATGCACACACACACAAACACGACACATGGGGGCAGGACCACAGAGAAAAACCATTGTCTTTACAAGGGACATTCATTCTCTGGTTTGCCTCAGGTCTCATCCTTGTGTTTTTTGTATCTGGCTCACTCCACGCAATTATGTTGCTGGTGTGATTCAGCATTTACGTCAACTGGCCTTCCCTAACGTAAAGTTAGGCAAAAGTGTCATGAAGTTCCAACAGCCTGACATTAATACCCAAAAAAGCTCTCTGGTGGAAAAGGTGAGAAACAGGCCACTAGCTCTGTCTACGCACAGAAAGCCCTTCCTCAGCCCGCTGAGGGCCAGAAGGCAGCAACAGTAGAGCGTAAGTAAAGAGTGAACACCACCAAGTGTCTCACTAAACACAACATTCTCCACTGGTACAAATTCTCTTCATAGAAACCAAGCTGAAAAATGGATCAACCGCACCTTCTGCCCAATGGTCCTGTCCTTTAGTCTTCCAAGGCACACATAACCAACATTTCTAGACAACTATCAGGGCTGGTGTTGGTGGTGTACCAGGTTGAGCCACCACTGGTTCGAATCTTAGTTGCTTCACTTCTTACCACTGTGCATGTGAAAGCAGTGGAGGATGGCCCAAGAGCCTGGACCCCTGCACCCACACGAGAAACCCAAAGCCACTGACTTCAGCTGACTCGACCCTGGCGGTGTGGCCATTCAGGGAGTGAACCAAAGGACCGAACAGTCATTGCTTCCCAAGTTCATCTCCCTAGCTCCAAAGGTAAGAAGTCAACATTCAAATGTGTTGGAACAGTCCTCAGAGTATTCCTCCTAAGCACAGCGAGACTCTGTTGCCACCGGTCATCCTGCTCATTCCCTGGGTTGGCTGTGCCACCCAGGGTGCAGCTTCCAACTCTGCACAGCATCAAGAGGGACAGAGCAAGGACAAACGATCCTACAGTCCATCCCAGCACTGCATGAGCTGACAGGTGAGGGTGTGCTACGCTGGAGCCCAGCACACAGGGACACAAGGCACAGATGCGTCACCTTATCCAGTGGAAATCCCTTCCCTGAAGAGCAGACACCACATATGCTAATGGACGAGATCCGAAAATATTACTCTACACTCACACAGCTTTTCCTTCTGAGACTGACAATATAACTGAAATACACTTCACTCTGAATTAGAATGCGTGTCCACGGCCCACAGAAAGACGGGCTCCAGAGGGATCAGTGATGTCTTTTTTTTTTTTTTTAAAGATTTAATTTGTATTGAAAGGCAGATATGCAGAGAGGAAGAGGGACAGAGAGGAAGATCTTCCATCCATTGATTCACTCCACAAATGGCCACAATAGCCGGAGCTGAGCTGATCCAAAGCCAGGAGCTTGGAGCCTCTTCCGGGTCTCCCACATGTGTGCAGGGTCCCAAGGTTTTGGACTGTCCTCCGCTGCTTTCCCATGCCACAAGCAGGGAGCTAGATGGGAAGTGGGACAGCCAGGATTACAACCGGCACCCGTATGGAATCCCGGTGTGTTCAAGGTGAGGACTTTAGCCACTAGGCTACCACGCCGGCCCCAGTGACATCTATTTTACATGGCAGTGCTCATGAAGCAAATTTCAGAAGCAAGCAGCTGTGATAAACGACATTCTTACTCCTGACTCAAGTGAAATTTGGATTTAGATGTCATTTTGGCTTACCTATCTTTTTTTTTTAAATATATAAAATTTTATTTTGACAATCTTTTCATAGTTAATTAGGGTAAGAAGGTTCAAGGACTACAGGAAAGTGGATAATACTAGTATGTTTTCCATATTGTTACCTTCATGTTTAAAGGGGGAGGGTATTAAGGGAGAAGGCCCACCCAATTTCCCACCCTCCCCAGGTCCCGGGTGTAGGGCATGCTCTGAGGTTCTTGCTCAAGTGGTTTTGATATTGCAACAGTTATGAATTGCTGTCAACCTTGCCACTCCAAGCACTATGAGGTCTTTGAAAAATCCACTGATTGACATAGTCCATCATAGCTGAGATGGTTGGTTGACCTGTTCTGTCTTCTCTCTTTTCTTCGTTAGGGTTCTGAGTCCAGCATTTAGATTAGGAAGATCTCCAAAGAAACTTCTTGTATGTGCTAACAAGTACAGGGCCTGGCACCGTCCATCGCCCCATTCAGCTGGTGGTTGCAATTGCTGGGTTGGTTCTGTTTTCACTCCTGACTTCCACTGGAACCAATGGGTGTTGCAGTCCAGCCTGGTTCTGCCCAGCACATACTTGGCCCTCACATAAACCAGTGGGAGCTGCAGCCTAGTTGGAGCGACCCACAATAACCCCCACCAGGCCCACCCCCTACCCTGGTTTGCCTGTAAGTGTAGCAGTAATCCAGTCTGTCCCACACTCCGTTCCACCCCAGCCGCTATCTTAGTTTTATGTCCTCCCATGGAAGTGGTAACCCAAGAGGGATGAGCCCACTATTTCCCTCCCAGGCCTTTCCCACTCCCAGATTCCAGCTGATGCTGTGGCTAAGCCCAAACAACCCTCGCCCACTTTAATTTTGTTTGCACTAGTAGGAATAATCAGCCCAGCCCGGCTTTTCCCTGATCTAGTCCACATGAGGCGCACAGGTGTGGGCTTACCTATCTTTTAACCCAGATGAAATGAGATAGTTTATGCAAACCACTGGGGAGAGTATGTGAAACATTTTTATTGCTAATCTGTTTCCTGGCCATTTTTAGACATCTGTACTTCCACCACGGCTCTTTGCAGCATCTGGCATACAACTGTCACTTAGTCCACGTGGTGGGACTTTGGTCTGCAGGATTCTGATATGGCTGTGGGACCAGCTACCTCACTCTTCCACTACAAAGAGAACAAATGGTGTAGGCTACAAGCTCTTGGCAGCCAAGGAAATGCGCTGGAGGTTGCAGGAATAGGTCCTAGAGGCCCCAACGCAGGCAGGACTGCAGTGCAGTCTCAACTGGGGCAGTCAGTAGCAGATGCCTCGTCAAGTTTGTCTCCCCAGGGTAGGACTCACTGCGGCCACTTCTCTGGACGTGCAATGCTCTGCTGTTTCACTGGAGAACCAACAGACAGAGAGCAAACAGACCGCGTTCAGCCATCCGGAGGAGCCCTACTCCAGGACACAGTGCAGGAAGCAAAGCCCACTGATCCAAGTGGCACTAAAGAGGACCTTCCCAGATCTCCTAAGCAGGAGATCACACACAGCCGGGTAAGACACCAGCAAAGACACAGGGCTTAACAAGCACCATGTGCTCTGTTTGTCTGCCCCTGACGGGGTCCAAGCGCAGTGTGGGCAGACTGAGGAGTGCCCAGCCTCAGTGATCACACAATCTTTACAGATTTGAGCATATCTGACAGGATGTACGTGTCATCCCAAGCCCGCCCAGGCTTCCTGAGTGCCTGCTGCAGGGCCTGCGCCATTTCCAGGAGCTTCAGCATGGCAAGTTTCTGCTCAGGGTGCAGCTGACAGAACAGGATCTCGTTCACTTCATCCTCAATTCGCCGCACATACAGAAGAGGGAACACAGCCTTGATCCTGGCCAGCACCGAGTCCTTCAGCCCCATGTCTCGGCACACGAGGTTAAGGATAAAGACACCTGCGGGGGGGGGAAGGAATCAGGGCAATGAGTCAAGGGGCAAGCTCCGAGAATGCCGGTTCCCCTCCCAGTGAGGCTGACGGCCTACAGCAACACTGCATTTGCAGAGAACACACATCACACAAGCAAAAAGCCAAAAGCTGGGGAATATGTGAACCCCATCAAAACCTGAGCTGGAGGTGAGCATTTGGCTCAGCAGTGAAGCTATTACTTGCGGCAGGTGCCTTGGCCACACCTTCCCAGCAAGGACAGCGTCCCTACATGGCAGGCCTGACAGCCCACCCTGCTCTCTCACCCCAGCTCAAACCCAGCTCATCTGGTTCAGCAGTTACTAACTAGAATGCCTGCATCCTACCCTGAGTCTGTAGATTCAATTGCTGACTTTGCTCTCCACTCTGGCTCAGTCTCCTGCTGATTTGCACATGGGACGCAGCACAGGGCTGAGTCCCTGCCAGCCATCTGGGAGATCCAGAATGAGCTCCTGGCTCCTGGTTTCCGCCTGGCCCAGCTGACATTAGAGTGGGGATGAACCAGTAGACTGAAGATTTTTAAATGCTTTAAATAACTTTTTAAAGTCAAGCTTATCTCTTGCTTTCTGTGCTGCTGGCGCATTATTTCACCATTCTTCACACCCAGTTTCCCAAGGACCACAGACCACCTCTATGGAGACACTATATTCCTGACAATGCACAGCACTGATTAACAGACACGGGGCCAAGGCTACCCTACGTGTGACACTGCTCCGAATCCACGTAGTTATTAAATAAATACACACAGCAGGCCACGGACACAGTGTGAAGGCTGCCATCTGACAGTGGGAAGGACCTGTGCTAGGGTACCAACTCTACACACAGCAGGCCACGGACACAGTGTGAAGGCTGCCATCTGACAGTGGGAAGGACCTGTGCTAGGGTACCAAGTCTACACACAGCAGGCCACGGACACAGCATGAAGGCTGCCATCTGACAGTGGGAAGGACCTGTGCTAGAGTCCCAACTCTACACACAGCAGGCCACGGACACAGCATGAAGGCTGCCATCTGACAGTGGGAAGGACCTGTGCTAGAGTCCCAACTCTACACACAGCAGGCCACGGACACAGTGTGAAGGCTGCCATCTGACAGTGGGCTGCTGTGAAGACTGGAGGCATGTGCGCAGCATTCAGATGGCAACTAGCTGTCACCACACTTGGGAAAGTGTGAAACTGTGTGGCAGCATTTGGGAAAACTGAACATGCTCAGAAAGTGTCATCTAGCAGTCAGAATCCTGTGTGTGCACCCAAGAGACGGGCTAAGACACTTCATGCAAAAATCCATGTCGCAGTGTTAATGGCAGCACTACTTATAATAGCCCGAAATGGGGAACATCTCAAACGCCCAGAGTGGAACAGACTGAAGAATTGTGGAATAGTCACACAAAGACACACCCCAAATAAACACCAACAGTGTGGGTGAGCCTCACAAACATGTGAACAGAAAGAAAAAACACTCAAAGAGTACATTCTGTATGATTCTATGTAACTTGTTCATAAAAAATAAAAAGGGGCAAATCTAGGCTTAGGACACAGGTCCTCTGAGCAGATGAGTTACCCTGCAAACAGTCTGGATTTGGTGCTGGCAGACAGATGAAATCCATACAAGTCCACACTGATGTGCATTTTTCATTGGAAAAGACCCAACATGTTGGAAGGTCCTTTCCCTCCTCCCCCCGGTACCTTCAGGGCTCAGGATGCTTTTGACCTTCTGTAGAAAAGGCTGGTCCACAAATGCTGCAGGTGGACAACTCATTCCCAGTGTCGGGTCTTTACTGTCCACATCAAACATGATGACATCGTAGCGAGGTCGAGCTGGGAGAGAAAACAAACGAGCCCTCATCTTTTCAGAATACAATGCCATCCCTATCCCTGCGCCCTGCTCCCTGAGCAGTGGTTGCCGGGGTGGGCACATTAGAATAACGGAATGGTGTGCCTGTAGCACTGACATCACAGTCCAGCAGCATCCTTGCCATCAGAGCCCACAGTAAGCATGAGGTCGTCCTCCACATCTAACAGCACCTCACAAAGGCACACACACTCACCGAGGCCACTCTAGCATAAACACTTCTTTGGCTAAGAGTCCATTCATACTAACGGATTTCAAACTGCAGAACATCAGTCACCTTGGGACTGTTCTCAATACTTAAAAGAAGGTAAACTATATTCCTAACTAAGTAACAACAACTTCAGTAACTCCTAATACAGTCAGAGTTGAGAACCAGAGATCTGGACAGAGGAGCTGATCCAACAAATGGCAACTTTAACTCCAGAAACAGCACATGTTGCCTCACAAAACAAAGTGTTCCGAAGTTCCTGTGTGTGAATCGTTTCCAGTCACCTGAACCCAAATGGGAGACGCAGAAGAGGCCCCAGGCTCCTGGCTTCAGATCGGCTCAGCTCCAGCTGTTGCGGCCACTTGAGGAGTGAATCATCGGATGGAAGATCCTCCTTTCTGTCTCTCCTCCTCTCTGTATATCTTACTTTCCAATCAAAAATAAAATAAATCTTAAAAAAAAAAACTTTGCTGTCACCAAGCTTGGGCAGCACAGTCCTCACATCCCACACTTGGGTCCAGTGTGATCTCTCTCACACTCTAACACTAGCCTGTAGGTGACTGCATTTGGAAACAGGACTTTAACAAGGCGTTTATGAAGACAGTCTAATGGCAATGTCCTCATTCTAATGATCTTGTGGCTAATATTTATCTTGCTGAGGGAAGCTGAACATCCTCTCACATGATTCTTGTTTATAACTTTGACTATTTTCCTACTGGGCTATAGTATTTTCAATGTTTGTCAATTCTTTAGCTTGTAGAGTTATTAAGCCTTTGGCACCCAAGTAAATTAAAATGTCACCAAAGCGACACCAGGATGTGTGTGCACAGAAGGCCATCTGAGGACACAATGAGAAGGTGGCCATTCATAAGCCCGGAGACAGGTCCCAGGGGAATCCGTGCCCGCAGCCAGCCTCTCTGTTTAACCACCCGCACACAGCAGCACAGCATGGAATGACATGGATGCCACTTAGAGATGAATTCTAACCTCCTCCTCCTCCTGCCAGGCTGGTGATGTAGTCCAGGCCATCCGCAATATGAACCTTCATCCGGTCACTCTGGGAGAAGCCAAACCACTGGGTAGCCACTTCCAACATGGAGGGGTCGATCTCCACAGCATCAATGCAGCACTTCGGGAAATGATCATGGATAAAGAGGGGAAGGCTGCCGCCGCCCAGACCCACCACCAACAACGCCAACGGGGTCTCTGTGGTGAAAGAAGAGAGCGTCACTTGGTCATCTGCTCACCGTGAAGTCTTGGATCAGCCTTAAGCAAGGCAAAAAAGGAAAGCAAATTGTTGACTCTGCCCAGGAATACAAGATTTAGACACCTAACCTGTCTGTCTCATTCAGGAGTCAGTCAACACTGGAGAACTCAACCCTCGCCCCATAAAATCTAGATCCAGAGGATGAATCTACATGTGGTTTTATAGACACGATTTCCAGAGTCTCTATCATTGGCATTGTAAGACTCTTGCCCTTCAAAAATGTAGAGTAGGGCCTCCCACGATGGCTCAATGGCTAAATCCTCGCCCTGCGTGCAGCAGCATCCCATATGGGCTCCGGTCACATGATTGTGGCCTGGGAAAGCAATAGAGGATGGCCCAAAGCTCCTTGCTTATGGCCTAGGAAATTAGTAAAGGTTGGCCGAAAGCCTTGGGACCCTTCCCCCATGTGGGAGCCCAGAAGAAGCTCCTGGCTCCTGGCTTCAGACTGGCTTAGCTCTGGCTATTGCCAGAGTTCACTTTGGGAGTGAACCAGTGGACAGAAGATCTTTCTCTCTGCATCTCCTTCTCTGTAAATCTTTCTTTCCAACAAAAATAAAGAAACCTTTAAGAAAAATAGAGGGTAATGGCCAAACATAATGGCCAGGGGACCAATGTAATGGCCAAGTTATTCAATCACAAGGCAACTGAGGTACAATACCCCTCCCCCAGCTCTCACAGCAGAAGGCCATAACTGCCTTCTCTGGTTCCCACAATAAACAGAGGGCAATCCTTCCAAATTCCATAAAACCACCAGAAAACCAAGTCCTAGCCCTAAATAAAGAGCACAGAGCACTGAATGAAGACAAGAAACTAAACAATCACCAAAAGAAAATACGCTCTAGGATTAAAATGAGGAACTGAAATTCTAAGACACATCCACATATGCCAAAAGTAGAGGGCGTCTCAGCAAGCCTTATGCAGGGCCTGCAGGTGAAGACAACTATAAACTCAGAGACATGAACACACTTGTCACTGTGGTCCACTCCAAACCTGCTCAATTGAATAAGACTATAACTGCAGGAAGTCTAAGAATTTTTTTTCAGCGGGGGAAAGAGTAGAAATTCAAGAAAGAATTTAATCTAGTGCTCAAATAATGCATTACCGAAAACCTAGACATTTATCAAAAGGCACCATGCATACAATTAATATGGGTACCATCTAGTTAACATGGCTACACATATGGGCAAAAATTCAGCAAGTTGAACAACGTAGTTTGTAT